AAATCATACCTGCCAAATTCCAATATTTTGTAGATTACTTACCAAAAGCACTTTCTTCATTAGATAATATCATAAAACAATATCAATGCTTCACTTTTGATGACGATAGGGTAAGAATATTCTCCTTTCATATATGGTGTGCAAAAAGTGAAGCTATTGAGTACAGCAACCAAGTGTAATTGTAACAGGTAATGTTCCATAAGCCTACAACATTGGTCAATCATGGGAATGGCTTCTTACACCACCCCCAGAGACCAGTGCGGAGTCTCAATGGGACTTCAACGCATCAAAAAAGAATTATTATCAGACTGTTAAGTTAAATTTTTTTTATAAATATCCTGTAAACACAAAAGCCAGTCAATCCAATCTTCATTTTTTTGTGAAGAATAAACTTTTAAATTAATTTTTCAACTAGATTACCTTTGATTATGTTTGTTATTTGCAGTGGAACAAAGTAACAGATTTATGTTGGTACAGAAACAAAATTGGGGTACCAATAAATATGTATATCTGTTGAAAATCTCATTCTTTTATTTGTAGCAATTATGCCTAAATTATGCCAAAGAAGGCAGAAGAGCATCTAGGGAATTTTGAGTTGAAACCTATGCCATATTTATAGGCTATTTTAAGGATATTTTTATACTCTATTCATAAATTGTATGCTTCTCGTTTTTTTGCAAAAATCAAGGTGCTCTGCTAGTTCAAACGAAGTCGCTCTGCTGACTTTTTAAGTTTTTTTACCATATTTTTAGACTATTTTAGGCTCTTGAAATATTTTAAAATTTTTCGAAAAAATATTATTTTTAAATAGCTTTGCTAACTTTTAATAAATCTAGCAGAGCACCTCAGTTTTTAAAGCGTTTTTCTAAAAACAACCCCACCATATTTTTAGACTATTTTTAGGTTCTTAAAATATTATAAAACTTTTCGAAAAAACTTATTATTTTTAATAAATACAGGGTGCTTTGCTAGCTTCGTACAAAGGTTTTTTAAAGCTTTTTTTCTAAAAACAAGCACACCATATTTTTAGACTATTTTTAGGTTCTTAAAATATTATAAAACTTTTCGAAAAAACTTATTATTTTTAATAAATACAGGGTGCTTTGCTAGCTTCGTACAAAGGTTTTTTAAAGCTTTTTTTCTAAAAACAAGCACACCAAATTTTTAGGCTCTTGAAATATTATAGAACATTACTAAAAAAATTGCTAATTTTAAATAATATTGTTCTAACAAAGTCTACAGAGCACCTAGGTTTTTTAAAGCTTTTTTCTAAAAACAATCACACCTCATTTGTATGCTATTTTTAGACTCTTGAAATATTATGAAACTTAACTAAAAAATTGCCGTGTTTAAATAATACGGGTTCTTTGTGGAACAAAGATAGCAGAGCACCTTGGTTTATTAATTTCTGTTTTAAAAACAACTACTTATGCCACCTTTTAAGCCATGATTTGGCTCTTGAAGTATTATAAAACTAAGCCAGTAGAGCACATCGGGTTTTTAAAGCTTATTTCTAAAACAACCACACCAAAATTTTTAAGCTATTTTTAGGCTCTTGAAATATAACACTTTTCGAAAAAAATTGTATTTTTCAACAAGTACAGGATTCGTTTGACGCTAGCAAACTTTAAACGAATCCAGCAGAGCCTCGATTTTTAAAGCTTTTTTCTAAAAACCATACCACATGTATAGGTTATTTTTAGGCTCTTGAAATATAAAATTTTTCTAAAAAAAAATGTATTTTTTATTATTACAGGGTGCTTTGTTGGAACAAAGTCAGCACAACACCTCGGTTCATTAGTTTTTTTAACACAACTACTAATGCCTCACTTTTAAGCTATTTTTAGGCTCTTGAAACATAAAACTTTTCGAAAAAAAATAGTAAAATTAGTTTTTAGAAAAAAGTTTTAAAACACCGAGGTGCTATGCTGGATTCGTTCGAAGCTAGAAACACTACTTATATTTTAAAAAAAAAATAATTTTTTTTCAAAAACTGTTATATTTCAAGAGTCTAAAAATAGCTTAAAAATATGGCAGAAGTAGTTGTTTCAAAAAAAAAAAAAAAAACTGAGGCGCTCTACTGACTTTCTTCCAACAAAGCACTCTGTATGATTTAATAACAGTTATTTTTATTAAAGTTTCATATTTCAATATTCTAAAAATATCCTAAAAATTTGGTGTAATTGTTTAAAAAAAAGCTTTAAAAAACTAAGGTGTTCTACTGCATTCGTTCGAAGCAGTCTGTATTTTTTTTAAATTCTATTTTTTTTAAACTTTTATAATATTTCAAGAGCCTAAAAATAGCTAGAAAAAAGTTTTAAAAAACTGAAGTGCTCTGCTAGATTCATTCAAAGCTAGCAGTCCTGTTATTTTTTAATAAATACCACTTATTTTTTTTTTTTAAGTTTTGTAATATCTCAAGAGCTAAAAAATAGCTTTAAAATAGCTTTAAAATGTGGCTAATCAGTTGTTTTGAGAAAAATAAATAAACCGAGGTGCTCTCCAGACTTTGTTCTAGGACTGAGGGTCATGTGGCCTCCCCCACCTCGACCTTTTCAGATCTATTGTGGATAGACTTTGTTCTAACAAAGCACCTTTATTTAAAAATAGCAATTTTTTAGTAGTGTTATAATATTTTAATAGCCTAAAAATCGCCTAAAAATGTGATCTGGTTATTTTTTGAAAAAAGCATTAAAAAACTGAGGTGCTCTGCTGGATTTGTTCGAAGCTAGCAAAGCACCCTGTATTTTTTTAAAAATACTATTTTTTTTTCGAAAATTTGTATATTTTAAGAACTTAAAAATAGCCAAAAATATGCTGTCGTTTTTGATAAAAAACTTAAAAAAACTGAGGTGCTCTGCTGACTTCATTCGAAGCTAGCAGAGCACCATGATTTTTGTAAAAAAACGAGCATAACATTTTTTAATAGGGTATAAAAATAGCCTTAAAATAGCCTAAAAATATGGCATAGGTTTTAAGTTAAAATTCTGTAGGTATCCCTATGTTCAGTAAACCATAAAGGAAATTAAAATAAAATGTTATCAACTTTCTAATCTGAATTTGATTCCCTGTATCTAAGTTTTTTAAGAAATAATTCTTATAACTATTTATTGATAAGATATAACTAAATACAAAAAAATGATAGATAAGCACTATTTTTTATCACATTTCCACATAAGTATCAAGGGGTTCCCACAATAATTCACAACACTATTACATTGCAAATTACAAAGAAAGGAGGTAAGTCAAGTATTACAGGATTATGTTTCAATCTATAATTAAAATATTACCAGGAATATTATCTACATAACAGTGTGCAACTTTTTGATAGATTAAAAAGATAGGAACATTAGATTAAAATTTTGAATTTTTTTAATTAAAAGCTGAACTGGACTGAGCAATAAAAATTTGGAATTAACAAAATACTTTATTTAAAAAATAAAGTATCAAAATAAACATAGATAGATACTTAATGGTTAAAATTAAATAATTGAGAATAATGGTATTAAGACTAAATTATTAAGAAATCACCAGGGTCGGCAAGAAATTTTTTGCAGCTTGGTTAAAAAAAGAAACGAAAATGTGAAAATTCTGCAAGTTTAGGTTTTTTTATGTTTTTTGGGTTCTAAGATGAATATTTAGAATTCACAATTTTACTGACCAACTCTCAGCAGAAATGGTACAAACATTGCAAAAAAAGGTCAACACTAATGAACTTCTTATGCTGTGTTTGAATATCCACATCGGATGTATCTGAGATGTTGTGAATTTTTTATCAGGTGATAGAGGATTAACGGATTAAATTTAAATGTAGATGTAATAAACAAACGCTCTAGACTTTATTGGTCACGTGATACAAGTTATAAAAGTAATTTTAAAAAACCAACTTCAAACTAGTGCAGATGCCATCACCACATCTTGACCAAATTTATAGGGGACCACCTCTGAAGTACCCCCTTACTAACAAAAAAAGAATCATAGAGGATAAGATGGTAAAGAATTACTGCTAAACATACATAAAAAATTAAGAGTTTGAGGATTTTCTAATGGTCCCAACTATTAGACTTTAACCAAATTTATAAGGAACCACCCCTGAAGTATCCTCTTTCTAACAAAACAAGAATCATTGAAATTGGATACCGTGTCAAAGAATTATCACTGAACATACATAAAAAAAAAATATTATAACGAATTAAGAACCTCCTCCTTTTTTGAATGACAATGATGTTAGAAGTTAATACTTTTTACATAGATCATGCCAACTCTGTTATCAAAACTATTGCATTCAAGTTAAATTTCCTATTTAGAAGTTCATTTGGCTTATCTCAGTGGACTAAATGTATAATATATAAGACTATAAATCTACCTCACTTTAATTATTGCTCTACAATACTCTTTTTACTAAATCAAAATGAGTTGAACCGACTAGAGAAGCTGCAGAATAGGGCTATGCGAATAATATTATCCTGATCAGAATATGCTTCCATTAATCTAATACTTGAAACTTTGAGGTGGATGCCAATCAAAAGTCTCTTATTATGGAATGCGTTAATTTTTATTTATAAAATCAAACACGGTTTACTTCCTATGTATCTAGTATACCGAGGATATTTAGATTGTTATGAAAGTACCTTGAATTAGTAATATTAGCTTTCAAATGAATTGTCACTTTACAACACACAACAGTTTTTTATCAAGCTAGAGGGTGCTAAAATCAGAAGTAACCCAAATTACCCTTTCAATATTTAAATTGTAGGGGTTGCTCGAGGGTTGTTGAAGTGTCGATATTGCAACTAGAAAAAAATGTCCCTCTCCAAACAAAAATTGACCAGTCATAGCTGTTTTTGCATCAATACGTAAAAAACCTAGGTTAAAGGTTTTCGGTGGCCCACCCTGTATACTAATTTGCCATGTCTACTTTAATATAAAATTTGAATTGTCAAAAACACTCACAAGTACTTAAATCCTGCAACAATATAATTACAATAAATTTTACTTACATATTTCCTTTATCATCAGCCTGCAGTGCAGCACGTAATTCTTTAAAAAAAGTCTCTTCTGTTCTATTATTATTATTATTTTTAAAAGTAGTAAGAGGTGTATATACTTTAGGGCAATTACTAAATGCTTCATCTATAATACTAGCATCCAAATTTTCATCAATACTTTTTTGAGCTATAGGAGACATAAAATTTGAATCTTCTAATATAGATGATAAATCCATTTTTAAAAGTGCCTCAAAATCATCCTGAGGCTCTGTCTGTATATCTATACTGCATGTTGTTTTTATTTCAGTTTGTACACCCTTATCTGCCTTCATAGTTGGACTTTTTGTTAAATCTAAAGCACCACACTGACTACTTTGTGCACTATTCTCAATTACACTTTTACTTAACACCAATCTCTTCTTTGCTTTACCATTTCCACTTGTATTCTCTGTGTGAACCATTTTTAAATTTATATTATCTGGAGCAATACTGTGCTTATCAGTTGTGTTTGGTTTGATAGGTTCTGAATTACTGACGGGGATTTTCAAAACCATGTTTTCAATTGGATTTGTTGATGATAACTGTGGCATAATAATATTCTTATCTGGAACACGACGAGGTAAAAGATTTGGTAGATTAAACTTCTCATATTCATTTTTTAACTGACTTGGAATAATCTGAAACTTGTTCTTTTTTACAGCTGTAGCTATTTTGATTATTTGACTGTTTTTTGGTAATTCAGATTTCGCCAGAATTTTAATTCTCTTTCCATTTAACATTATATATTTCTCTCCTTTATTACCAACTTCAATTTTTACGGTTTTTGCATTAAGCATTGGTTTAGATTCCATTATGCTACTGCTTAAAACGGGCAGTGAATCCTTGAAACCGATAAGCACGTAATTACTATTTACGGGTTCTAACTTCGAAATATATACAGTTTCTTGTCCAATTACGTGCTTAATAAATTCCATTGCCTTACTAACAGCTAAAATAAGGTTAAGAAAAGCTTTAATTGTAAACAACTAACCTAAAAATTAAGTACTCACCCTATAATAAACCTACAGTTATAGGTTTCGAAAATAATTCATGCAATGATGAAACTATTTCAGTCAATAGCATGCTCAATAAATTATGGAAAAATTCTGATTTAGGGTAATCCCCGTCATTGCTCTACAGTAAAATGACAAATAACGATTACGTCAGAGAACGGTCAACGGTAACGGTGACAACAACACAAAATGAGTATTCCACTGACAAAAATGGTATGGAAACCAATGGAAACCACAGACCATATGGAAACTAAGCTTTTAAAGTTTGAAAATCACATGTGCACAACGCACTACACCAAACGAGCTAAACCGAGTTAAAACCAACGCCATGTGAAAATGTATCGAACGAAATGAAAAAAGTTAAAATAGCGAAAAAATAATCGAAAATATCGAATTTCTAATGGCCGGTTTCGATTGCATATGAAGTATCGAGTCACCAACGCAACTTCGCACAAGCCTGCACATGAATGATTAACTGAGAATAATTGTATTATTTGTATTCACTTTTAGATTAAAGATTTTAAATCAGTAAAAGTCCTGATTTCTATTAGCTAAATTGTTGATTCGATTCTTTTACAGAAATCGAGTAGGTACTAGGTCTATTATGATGGTTAAATGTATGCAACCAACTTTACAATTTTTAATTGGCCGCGTTCATCG